TCACATTTTATTTTAGTGAGATTCCTAATTGGATTGAAGAATGACTATGGAAAAACACTAAAAGCAGGAAGATTAGTTAAAAGACTGATGTGGCAAGCAAGACTGATGAAGGCCTGAGAATAACAATAGAATGAAAATAAGTGAATAGATAAATACAAAGGATACAAAATCAACTTGACTTCATGACTGGATGGAGACAATAAAAATTATTCCATAGCTTGACTGACTAGACCCAACCCAATAGTAGCTTCATATTTCAATCATATGATTATTGTATCAAAATCCTAAAGCAGGTAAATTCAGTCTTAAGTCATCTTCATTTCACCAATAGCCATAGCATTTGACTTCCCCTCTTTGAAAAAGTGATTATATATACTAAAACTACTGCCACTTGGTAATTCCGTACTAATTGTTTAATATTGATAACCACATGCAGACCTCTGATAAACCACTGAAGGTGAGATGGACAGAAAAGCTACAGAGAATATATTTAATATGTGGAATTGAGTAAAAATTTTGATCATAATCAGTACTCTAAGTGTAAGAAAAAAATCTAAATGCCCTTTGAATAAATTTGATTCTAATTTTATCATTTATAAGGAGGGATCTGTTACCACCTATTTTAGGATTCTAAAGAAGTAAAATAACACAACTTCAAAGCTAAATCAACTATTGTTATTTTTTCTCCTTCTGTTTGTAAATGTAAAAAATAAAAAAGGCAAAAAACTATCCTTATAAACCAAGCCAAAGATCTTTAAAATATTGCACTAACATTATAATAACCATTGGAAAAACTTACTGTAACTTCAACCTTATTACCACTGTAAGGGTAAAAACTATGCTAATGCCAGGAGCTTCCAGTAACTAAATGCTCTTGGAAAGTGTCCAAGACAATGTTATAGTAAATTTCCAACTTGTTTCATCTAACATCAAGAAAAACAAGTTATCTAAAGCATTGGATTATGTTTAAAAAGACTCTAACTAAAAGTTTTATGTCAAATAATCACTCGGAAAAAATTTTACACTGTACTTATGATGGGCCCTAAGTCTGGTAAGGATCAACTTGGGGGATAGCTGCACTTACTAATCTAAGTCACATATTACTTATTATTTCGAGAAAATTTTCAATACCAATAGCTCCCATTTTGAGAGAACCAGATTTTGACAGAATCTATTAAAGTAACAGTTGACAATGATGCTGCAAATCTCCCTAGATTCCATATGGTGGACAGTATGTGATGGTGATTACACTTTTGATTTCTAGCTTGAGCCCTTTTACTCTCCTATTATTGTGGCTCAGATTCCTTTTTCATGGTGTACAAGTCTGATAGATATATACCGATGTCATGTATAAGGAAACATAACGGTGTTTTGTAACTGTGAGTGCATATGTGAACATACATATATAACACTCCAGACAAGCTGGGATTTCCACTCATAACAACTGGTTTAGAAATTAACGTTCTCCTAAATTGAGAAGTAAAAGCCAGGGGTTATAAGAAAAATCTAGCCAAATAGTAAAGGGAGCTATAAAATTAATTATGGAGACAAAAAAACATCAAAATAAAGCAGGTTCACCAAACAAACAAAGCCAACAAATTTTCACTAAGCATCTTTAAGTTTATCTGTAAATGCTGACATTTTTAAAAAGTTGAGTGGTGCACCAACTTACATTTATGAAAAATGACATCATAGAATAAATGTCTAATTCCCAAAAGTAATAATTCAAGTTTAAAGATCTGCATATAAAAATAATAGAAGCAAGAGCTGCAATGAAATGAATAGAAAAAGCAAGCATGGTTTTACAGGAAACATTAAAAGTCGGATAGACTGAATATAATGTACAAAAGACCCAAAATGAAGGAATTAGGCAGAAATATTCCCAATGTGTTCAATATCTACTGAAACAAGCAATGCCATTGCAACTAATACCTGCCACAAAAGTTGGCATAAATGAGCTACTTCTATTACTTTTTAATGATGAACCAAGGAGAGATTTGTTACATATATTTTGTAATTTACCAATACTGTGCTATTAAATTTATATTAGTGATGCTTCAGCCAAGGATTTGTGCTAAGAAGACTGAAATCTGTTAGTACCACAGTGAAAATGATGCCTCGCTAGATATTCGACATAAAGCTGACCCCTAAAGGTTCCTTGATGCACATCTGCAACAATACGGTATACTAAACTAGCAACAGATTGGTTAAAAACAGTTTGGATTTTCAACTTCCATAACACAGGCAACATTTTTAGAAGCAATCACATTAAAATAAACGTGTCTTTCACAGTTACAGGATGAAATCTTAAACTGGCAGGCACCAATGCCCTGATTTTCTACTTTTTTCGTAAACCATATGACTTCCACATGCTGAGAACGTTTTATGCTTTAACCTGCAGGAAAGGCTTTACATCATTTTAATGCTCAGTGCTTAAAATGCAACAGAATCCCCCCCAATGAATGCAAGGAATATATCTGGTTTACTTTTAATCGGACTGTTAGAGAAAGTTCAATGAAAGCTTTCCCAATAACTTTGCATTTCCATAGAAGAAAACAAACAAAAAGAAAAACCTGAGGTAAGGGCAGGCAGAAGAGCAAATACTGTTATACGGTTCCAATTCTCAACAGACATTTTAGTTTTATTTCTAAAACAATTATTGAACATTTTAATATTGTATATCTAACAATACCTTTCACACACACAAAAAATCACTCTATTATGTAGTTATTTAGGATTTTTCTCTAGTTTTTACAAAGTAATGTTTCAGGTTAAGATAGAAGGTTAAAACAAACAAATTCTGGAAATCCTAATCTATAACAAACTAAAGGCGCTACTTTGTATTCTAAATTCAAAATTTAGAAGACATCAATTTTGTCTTTATTCAGGTCAATCTAAATATATATGCTACCTCATGCATACAGTCAGCTTGTATGTGTGGACTACAAACTGCAGGAATTCCAATTCAAAGGTTATAAAATATACCATAAAATTACATACTGTATCTATGTGACTTTCAGTTTCATAGGTTCAAGAATTGATAAGTTTGCAGTTGCTAGGTTCAAGAATTGATAAGTTTGCAGCCAAATATGTAAGTACACTAAATTCTCAACAGTCTAAAGAGAAATTATGCCAATTCCTTTGGTTATTTAAAAGTCTATTACAGTAAAAATCTGTCTCGTGAGAAGGGATATTGACAAACTTCTATTTCAAACTGAAGGAAACACAAATTATATTATCTTAAATTCTCCTGGTGTGATGTGATTAAATATATAAAGACTGTGAGAAACAACATGTTGCAATCCCCTTCCCTTTATACCTCTAACTGAAACTTGGGGGTGGAGATTGGGGGGAATCAGAATGCACATTTTCCAAACGACTTATAAACGTAGTTCAGCCAGCTCTCACAACTCGGTTGTGCAGTTTTAAAATAAGCTTCATGCAAAGCACTGCAACCTTGCTGTGACAATTACCTGTGGCTAAATGCAAAATAAAAACAAATGCAGGTCCTTTTCACCTAAAGATGTGTTTTACTCACAAAACCACAAAAAGCACAACCTTATTAGCACAAACTAAACAAACAGGCACAGGAGGCAGTTAAGTCCATCCAGGAAGAGCAAAGTACAATGCCAAGAAAGAAAGGAAGGAAGGACTTCAGCAAAGAAGGAAAGGAAGGAAGGAAGGAAGGAAGGGAAGCGGGAAGGAGGGAAGGCAGAGGTCTGCACAGCTGCAGGATCTCAGGGAAATGAACTCGTCACATCACGCCGCCCTACAGGGAACAGGAGGGTTTTTAAAGCGTCAGGGCAATCGCATAAAGCGATCACTTCATACCGTTCAACTTCGCACGGAACCTTGAATGCCAGCTGCACTCGCCCCTCCACTCACCCAATGCCTCCTCGCTCTTCGGTGCCGGCTTTCAGACAAATGCGAGACGGAACAGGGTGGGGTACAAGGAAAACACACACAGCGCCTTTCAGCGACTCCCCCCCACCCCACCCCACCCCGCCTCCAAATAATTTCCAACAGTTTTTCCTGCCACGCAAATCAGTCGCCCCATCTCAAGATGCACAAGTCATCCTGTGTTTTTAAGTAGACACATGCCAGCACTCCCGACCGCGACCCCGCGCGCCCGAAGCTGATGTTGAATGTGTTCGACACCCAGACGAGGAGCTAGAGATACACCTACCTGCTGTTTTCGGGGAGAGGGTGGGTGGAGGACTCCTTTCGAAGCAGCCCCAATCGTGTCACCAAAACACGGTTCCGGAATAAAATATTAAGAACACTTTTTTTCTTTTCCCACCTCATCTACCGACTTCAGGGATGCAAGAACCCCTCTCCACGCCACCTCCGCTCGACAGTCCTCCCGCCCGGAGTTCGGGGTGGCGATGCGTCCGGGGAGGGGGGCGGAGGCGGGCAGGGCGGGCGGGCAGGATCGGGCGACGGGACGCCGGCGAGTTTCGAGCCCCGCTGCCTCGCACCGCGGCGCCGGCCCCGAGGTCCAGGTCCCGCACCTCGCGCCCGCCTCTCCGCCCAGGCCCAAGGCGCAGCTAGGACTCCAGCTGCCTAACTTCCCGTCGCTAGACCTCCATTCAAGGCTAACACGTTCCCCGAGGACACGTCACCCAGTTTCAACCGCAGTCACACACCCCAAACAAGCCCACACGCCTCCAATTCACCCTACAGTTTCCCAAACTCCAAGCAGGAGACCCCACCTCCGGGAGTCCAACCTTCCGCCCAGAGGAGACGAGGAGAAAAGAGTTGGGGTGCAGCCGACGCCTTTCAATGACCGCCCCCCACAAACCGCCCCACCCCAGACCCTGCGTCCGGGGTCACCCACTCGGAAGCCCCCTGCGTCCTCCCTCCTCTCAATCCGGCCGTTTCAGAGACCCAGCCCCAGCCCACTCACTTTCTCCCCAAAACCCTGCAAAAAAAAAAAAGTGGAGAGAAAGAAGTGAGGAAAGAGACTTGAGGTAGTCCGGCTTTAAAACCGCTCGACTCACCTCGGAATCGTTGCCGAGTTCTCTCCGCGCGGCACAGCCCCCTCCCCAACGTCCCAGTACGAAGGGCTGAGACCGGGAGGAGGGGAAAGCGGGAGGGGGAGGGGTGTCTTCCGCGTGGGGCGCCGGTCGGGAGCGGACTGGGGAGGGGTTGAGGTCCGCGCAGGAAGAGGAGGAGGGGGAGGGGAGGCCCCTATCTCCCAGTCTCCCCCTGAAAACCTCCCTTGTCTCAATCACATCAGACTGACTGTCTTTGTCTGGCTGACAACCGCCATATTGATATCAACAGCCCCGCTCCCACCTGCTGCAGCCGGGCGGCCCTGGGAGTTGTAGTTCCTACCTCCCCTGAGTATACGTGTGGGACTTTGCGTTCAGAGACTCCAGTGAACTACAACTCCCGGCAAGTCGCGCGCCCACCGGGAGGAGGGGAAAGAGGCGGCAGAGCCGTGGGGACTACACATCCCAGAATACCATGGGTACCAGGCCCAGACTGTGGACATGAGATCACGCTGGGGTGGAGAGGCAGTATGAATTGGCGGCCGGGATGAATTTGAGCGGACGGAAGGAGGTGTTTCGAGAGAAAACGGAGGAGAAGGAAAGATAACTATAGTTCCCAGGACGTATGGAGGCATGACTACATTTCCCATGATGCCCCGGAAAGGGGGCGCAGGGAAGAAAGACTACACGTCCCGCGATGCTCTCCGCGGGCGAGCGGCGGAGCTTGAACCGGAAGACGCTTTCTGGGTTTGAGGAGTCCAGGGACTGGTGTTCAACAACCAAAAGTCCAATATGAAACTGGTGAGTCTCTTATCCTAGGTCAGAGGGCAATGGTTGTGCCATATCCTTTGGACTTAGTCGTTTCCACGTGGCGAAGGGAACCGTGTCTATAGGGGTGGTAATTAGGGAACTAGAAAGTGCGGTGAACTAAGGAAAGCTGCTGTTTGTTGTTTGAGGGGTTTCGAATCACACCTCCCTACCCCACCTCACACACAGCTGCCAGGGGATCTTAGACATGCTTGGTGGGCCCCTTTGGTTAGATAAGTGGTTGACTGAAACATTTCTTCACCGACCAACTAAAGGTGGGCTTCATGAACTGGGTTCGGCTGGTTTCTCAGCTGCCACGTGAGTGTTGTAATAGCTTGTTAACTTCTTTCCACGCAGTTGGCTCTTGTTTAGCGTTTCTTCTTACCCTTGTTGAGGGGCTTTGTTCCTTATGGGTAGAGCGTAGAAAATATTGGACAGAGGGTCACTATTAAATTTTCTGTTATAGGCTCCTGATTGCACTCGGAATCCAGAGAAGGATGAGGGCAGGGTGTGCTGCTGGGGGATTTGACGCTTAAACCTGTGGAGCAATGGTTCTCAACCTTCCTAATGCCGCGACCCTTTAATACAGTTCCTCATGTTGTGGTGACCCCCAACCATAAAATTATTTTCGCTGCTACTTCATCACTAATTTTGCTACTGTTATGAATCGTAATGTCAGTATCTGATATGCAGGATGTGTTTTCATTGTTACAAATTGAACATAATGAAAGCATAGTGATTAATCACAAAAACAATATGTAATTATATATGTGTTTTCCGATGGTCTTAGGCGACCCCTGTGAAAGGGTCGTTCGACCCCCAGGTTGAGAACCGCTGCTGTAGAGCCTGCTTATAGATGGATTGAGAGGAAGTGTTAACATATTAGAGTGGGGAGCGCCCCTTTAGTTGCTAGATGAAATGCTGCTGATTCATGAATTGTTTCATAAAGCCAATTAGATCTTCAAGTTGAAATAAAAAGACATTACAGTCTGTAAGGACTTCATGACCCAAGGTTAGATGGAATGTGCCAGTCTACCTGGAGTCCACATCACTGGCTTCTAAGAAAACTCAGACCTTTATTTTGAGCCATTTTACTATCATTGTGCGTGCAGACCTAACTAGTTTATTCCAACTATGTGGAATTAGTTAATAGCATATTTATGAGGACAAAAGTGTGATGCTGTACCTTTAAAAATCATGTTCCTGTAGCCAAATATTGTCAAGCTTTACTTTCTGTAATTTTTATTTTATCTTAAAATATATTTTTATTGATTTCAGAGAGAAAGGGAGAGGAAGAGAGAGATAGAAACATCAGTGATGAGAGAGAACCATTCATTGGTTGGCTGCCTCCTGCACGCCCGCTATGGGGATCAAGCCTGCAACACGGGCATGTGCCCTTGACTGGAATTGAACCCAGGACACTTAGTCTGCAGGCTGACGCTCTATCCACTGAGCCAAATGGACGAGGGCATCTGTAATTTATACAAAAAAAAAAAAAAAAGCCTAACCCCCTCCCATTTATGTAATTACTTGAACATGTTTTTTCAAAGGACACACACCCCTCTCATCTGCCCTTTGGTAATTACCATGCTGCAGGTATATACTTACTTGCTCAGCAAAGTGCCAGCTATTTTTTGAAAGCTCAGAGAAAGTATTAAAAGTAGATTCAGCTCCAAAACTCTCTCTATTTAAAGCTGTTTATGTAAGGGGAGGGCACAGATCCGTAAACCTTGAGAATATCAATTTGCTTCTAGGTGCCGTGTGCTAGACACTTAAGAATGCAGAATTGAAAGTCACCACTCTGTCCCTAAAGAAGTGTGCAGTATAATGAAGGTAGAAAAGTAAGCCAAAACTCTAATTCATGGTAACACACAGGCATGTTTAAGGCTTGGAGAACTGAGAGAATGATTGAGAGACATTCTTGGAAAGGTGACTCTGGAATTGCTAAGAAGGAGGAGTAGGCTCGGGTCTTCCATGAAGAGGATTCAGCTTAGGAGCAAAAAGCTTTCCCCTAAATCAGTGGTTCCCAACCTTGGCTGCACATTAGAATCACCTGGGAGTCTTTTTAAAATCCTGATTTCTGGGCCGCATCCTCCGGAAATTCTGTTTCTTTGTTATGGGGTGGGGCCACAGCATTAGTAACAAAAAACCGTTTCCAGCGGATGAGGCCCAGAAATCAGGATTTTAAAAAGATGCCCGGGTGATTCTAATGTGCAGCCAAGGTTGAGAACCACTGGCCTAAATGGTTGGAGCACAGATCATGTGTCTTCAATAAAAGATAAATTACGTTGGGTGTGCTTGGTGTGAAGTCATGCAAGTGTGAAAGTTTTTCTGTAAAAACTCACTTGCTGAGGTTATCAGAGAGCCATAGTTTATTTGACAGCTGTGAATTTATTCTTGTATTATTTATTAGTAATAATTATAGCCTGCATGTCTTTTTCCATACAAACAACTGTAAACCTACTTTTGGCCACCCCTGTACTTTGGTTTGCTCATAATATCCTCCTGCTTAATTTATTTAGAGATGTGAAATCATGGAAGGGAAAAAAGTAGAAACTTTTTTTTTTTCCTTTAAGAACCGAAAGATAGCTCTGAGGAAGTGTTAAAAACTCATTTGGGCTCTGGCCAGTTTGGCTCAGTGGTTAGAGGGGTCTCAGGTTAGATTCCCCGTGAGGGCACATACCTATGTTGCAGGTTCCCCAGCCCTGGTAGGAGTGTGCAGGAGGCAACCAATGTATATGTCTCTCTCACTCTCTCCCTCCTCTACCTCCCCCGCCTCCTTCCTTCCTTCCTTCCTTCCTTCCTTCCACTCTCTCTAGAAATCAATGGAAAAAATATCCTCAGGTGAGGATTTAAAAAAAAAACCACACGAAAAACTCATTTGGTAGTTAATAGATGATCTGTAATGCAGAATTTCTATCAACATAGCAAAGTGGTTTCAAAAATATTGACAGTTAAATTAGACTCCTTTTGTGTGATGTGCCTCCCGTAGAGTTGTAATAAATATTCCCATGGCCTAAAATGTTTAACTTTGTGTACTGCTTCTGGAATATGTAGTCAGCCATGTCTTACATTTATTTCATGAAACACAAATACATTTTATTGAGCACATTCTTGGTTTTGAGATTATGACTTCCAAAATACCCTTCCCAGTCTCTGGCCACATCTTAGTCTACTTCTATTGTCGAACAGGTCTGTTTCTCTCCAGTCCTGTTAATACTGCCTTTGTAGAGGCTCTTTTCACATGACATTTGGAATTCAAAAGACCTTCTATCTGGGCTGCCTACATTCAGTCTTTCCCCTCTCCAATCCATGATCTACTCTGCATCCTAAAAGTTGTTTTAAACTGCAGTTACATGAAACCCTTTGCCCTTAGGATAAAGTTTTATAATTTTTCACTTGCCTGACTTGGTCCTGCCTGCCTCTCCAGGTGTGTGTCTAGCCCTCATCTCCGTTGTTCTCCCTGTTCCAGTGATTTTACACATCTTCCAGTTCCTTCCACTTTCCCTGCTCTCTTTTGCCTCTGGGACTTGACAATATGTTCCATTGCCTACAACACTTTCTCCCTGCCTAATTTCTTTATACATTTCAGTCTCTGATGAAATAGCACCTCCTCGTCCAGCCAGTGTGGTTCAGTGGTTGAGTGTTGACCCATGAACCAGGAGGACACGGTTTGATTCCCAGTCAGGGCTCTGTCCCCAGTAGAGGGGGTGCAGGAGGCAGCCGATCAAAGATTCTCTCTCATTGTTGATGCTTCTATCTATCTCTCCTTCTTCCTTCCTCTCTGAAATCAATAAAAATGCATTAAATTGTTTTTTTTTTAAATAGCACTTCCTCAAGGTTTCCTTTAATTAGGTACCCACCCCTCTTATATGTTTCCATGGCACACCTTTTGTAGCATTTGCGGTGATTAGTTTTATTTCTGCCCTCTCTCTTTTAGACTGTGTATTCCCAAGGCCCAACATAGTGTGACACCACTAAATAATAGTTGAATAATATCTGAAGGCTTAGCAAGTTTGTAAATATCATTGAGTAAAGCTTACGGGGTAAAGTTAAAACGTTACAATAAGCTGTAACATTGGAGTAAAAAATAAGTGCTACCCTTTATGGAACAATTACTATGTGCCAGGCACTGTGCAAGGTACTTCCTATTCAGTGGCCCATTTAATCCTTTGGTCTAGGCCCCAGGGATGATAGTCCCATTTTACAGATTTAAAAAAAACCCTGAACCCAGGGAGGTGATGTCGCTCCAAGTTACACAGAGGGGAAAAGCGGCATAGAACATGCCAAGATTCCTTCCTCAAGGGTCTGCTGCTTAATGAGGGCAAGGGCTCCAGCACCTTGCACAGTGCCTGGCATGTTCTAGGTTCGCTCTTAGAGGAAGGACGCCAGAGTGCATACTGAGAGTTTATTTGAAGCTATTTTTTTCTTAATAATTATAGTTTGCTAACATTCTGTTAGAACATACGGGTCCGGGGGGAGTAAAA